GGAGAAAACAAGAAGAAAGGAAAATGAGTTTTAAAAATTAAGAAAGCCTGTGAAATATCTGGGATACCATTAAGCAAATAAATATTCATATTATGGGGCTACCTAATTAGAAAATAAGGTAAAATATATTGAAAACCTCTTTAATAAAATAATAACTAAAAAGTTCCCAAGTCTTGAAATAGATAGGCCATCTGGATCCAGGAAACTCAAAAGACACTAACAAACCTCAACTGTAAAGATCTTCTCCAAGCATTTTATTGTCAAATTGTGAGAAGTCAAAGAGAGAATTCTAAAAACAAAAAGAGAAAAGTATCAAGTCACATATGAGAGAAGACCTATTAGACTGGCAGTAGACTTCTTGGCAGGAACCTTGCAAGCCAGAGAGAATAGGATGATATAGGAAAAAAAGTACAGAAAGCAATAAACTGACCACCAAGAATACTATATCCAGCAAAACTATTTTTCAAATAAAGGAGAAATAGTCTTTCCCAGGCAGGCAAAAATTCATCCCTACCAGACTGGCCCACAAGAAATGCTTAAGGGCGTCCTACATTAAAAGTAAAAAGTCATAATTGTCATCATGTAAACCAGAGAAGTATCAAATTCACAAGTGGAACAGATACAAATAGAAAAGTGAATCAAACATTATTACAATAAAAAACTAACAAGCCACAAAGACAAATAGTAAGAGGGGCAGAAAGAACAAAGAATATACAAAAGGGCAATAAAGCAATTAACAAGAGTACACTCTTCTTATCAGTAATAAACCCTTGACTATAAATGGATTAGACCTTCACTCAAGAGATATAGACTGGCCAAATGGATAAAACAAGACTCAACTATATGCTGCCTACAAGAAACTCACTTCACCAGTAAAGATACACATAGAATGAAAGTGAAGGGTAAGAAAAAGACATTTCATAAAATAGAAACTAAAAACAACCAGGAGTGTATGTACTCTCATCAGGTAAAAAAAAAAAAAAAATTTAAATGAAAAACTGTAATAAGAGACATAGAAAGCCATTATATATTGAAACACAAAATTAACATACAAAAGGCAGTCACCTTTTTATTTACCAATAACAGGCTTGCTGAAAAATAAATCAAGAAAGCAATCTCATTCACAATAGTTACCAAAAACACTTTGGAATAAATTTAACCAAAGAAGTGAAATATTTCTATAACAAAAAATATGGAATACTGATGAAGGAAATTATTAGAGTTCATAAAAAATGAAAAGATGTTGCATGTGTTCATGGATTGAAGACTTAATATTATTAAAACAACCATAGTACTCAAAGAAATCTACA